GTCGACTGTCTGCCCCCTGGTGGTCAGTGCACGTCATAGCGACTGGTCGACCAGTTGACTGTCTGCCCCCTGGTGGTCAGTGCACATCATAGCAAGCGCTTGAGCGGCCTTAGCATATCATTAGCATATCACGCTCTGATTGGTTGAACAGACAACTGGTCAACCGGACACTTAGCATATTAGGCTTTTATTCTATGAGGTGTGAGAAGGTTTGTCTTTGGGTGGTGGGCACACAATGAAATATACAGACCTGATCCCGCAACACAGAAACCCACACCTGACACCTATATGATCCTATTGACCAGTGTCGCCCCCATAAATGTAATTTTTTTTAAAAAAGGAAAAAAATACAACCCAGCCAGTGTGGCTCAGTGGCTGAGCATCGACCTAGGAACCAGGCGGTCGCAGTTCGATTCCCGGTCAAGGTCGCCTACCCGGGTTATGGGCTCATTCCCCGGCCTCGGTTGGGGCGGGTGCAGAAGGCAACCAACCAATTGATGTTTCTCTCTCACATTGATCTTTCTGCCTTTCTTCTCTCTCTCTCTCTTTCCCTCTCTCTCTCTCTCTTTCATTAATCCTCACCCAAGGATATTTTCTCATTGATTTTTAGAACGAGGGGAAGGAAGGGGGAGAGACAGCGCGAGAGAGAAACATTGATGTGAGAGAGACACATAAATTGGTTGCCCCCCCGTACATGCCCCAACCAGGGCCCGGGGATGGAAGCTACAACCCAGGTATGAGCGCTTGACCGGAATCGAACCCAGGACCCTTCAGACTGCAAACCGACACTCTATCCACTGAGCCAAACCGGCTAGTCTAGGGCACCTGGATGTTTCTCTCTCTCCCTCTCTCCATTTCACTGTCTCTTAAAAAAAATAAAATCAATGCATGTCAGGGCAGTGTGGCTCAGTGGTTGAGCATCGACCTATGAACCAGGAGGTCAGGGTTCGATTCCTGGTCAAGGGCACATGCCCGGGTTGTGGGTTCGACCCCCAGTGTGGGGGGCAGGCAGGAGGCAGCCGGTCCATGGTTCTCTCTCATCATGGATGCTTCTCTCTCTCTCTCTCTCTCTCTCTCTCTCTCTCCCCCTTCCTCTCTGAAATCAATAAAAATCTATAAGAAAAAAAAATGAAAAAGATTGGGGTCCCCTGGAGTAGCTGGCCTCCCCGAAACACCCTCTAGCACAGACGGGGGACCCCAAAAACCGCCCTCTACTGGGGTGGGCGCGGTTCCGCCTGCTGCCACTCAAATCTCTCCAAGGGCACCTGGCCTGGGCGTTGGCCCTTTGGGGGACGGGGAGGGGTGTGGGGAGTGGGGGGGCTGGGGGACCCCTTCCCTGACCCTCCACCCGCAGGAAACACACGGGGCTGGATTGACACTCACATGTCAGGCGTCCCCACCAGCCAGCCTCCGCGCAAAAGCGGTTCCTCAAACCGAGGTGCCCCCGGCCACCCCGCGGACTCGACCCAGTTTCGCTCTGAGTGTGGGCACGCGACAGCCCATCCGCCCGGCCAGGTGCGCGCTGCAAAGATTCTGCATAGACTTGTGGGGGCGGCCCCCGGGCCCTGCCATCCAGAGGGGGGCACCCCCATAGCAGCACGCGCCCCAGTTTCTTCTCAGGGTCCCCTGGGGGCGGCGGATGGACACCCAGAAGGGAGAGACCGGAAGGTGGCCGTTTGCAGAAACAGGGAGTGAGAGAGGCCCCGCCCCTGGTGTAGGTCAGCGGCTGAGCGTCCAGCTAGGAACCAGGAGGTCCCGGGTTCGATTCCCGGTCGAGGGCACATGCCCGGGTTGTGGGCTCCATCCCCAGTAGGGGGCGTGCGGGAGGCCGCTGATCCATGATTCTCTCTCCTCATGGATGTTTCTATTGCTCTCTCTCCCTCCCTTCCTCTCTGAAATCAATAAAAGTATATTTTTATTTATGACTAGAGGTGGCCCGGTGCATGAAATTCGTGCACGGCAGGGGAGGGGGTCCCTCAGCCTGGCCTGCACCCTCTTACAATCCGGGACTGCTGGTTCCTAACTGCTAACCTGCCTGCCTGCCTGATCCCCCCTAACCACTGGCCTGCCTGCCTACCTGATTGCCCCTAACCGCTCGCCTGCCTGCCTGATCACCCCTAACCACTCGCCTACCTACCTGATCACCCCTAACCGCTCACCTGCCTGCCTGATGGCCCCTAACCCCTCACCTGCCTGCCCTGCTGCTGTGGCTTCATTTGGAAGGACGTCCGGAATGACGTCCGAAAGGTCTTTCGGCTGTCCAGTCTAATTAGCATATTATGCTTTTATTATTATAGATAGGGTTCTGTGTCAGACTTTGAAAGGGCAAATAACTGACTGCTCATCTTAACATTGTTCTGCCATCCCAGAACTTACGTGGGAATGATGATCATGTGATAGTGTAAGCTACTTCCCTGTAGATCCAGGAAAACAACTTCAGAAATACTGAAAGGTGTGTCATCTAGATTTATTATGAAATCTAATTTTTTACTTTGATACTCTGGATATAACTTGGGGTAAAAATTCTATTATGTCATAAAAGTGATTTTTTGAGCTGCTTGATTTATATTTATATAAGATTTTCAAACAAGATGAAATATCAGGTTTTGCATATGTAAAAGATTGCTTGAGGGAAATGTAGTCTAGCTTGACAGAACTTATTAACAATGAATTGTTGCTTATATGAAAAGTAGTTTGGTTTTTGGTACCTGCTGACATTTCTTAGCCTTGGTAGTTCAGTTCTTTCTTCCAGCTGCACAGGTGTCTTTTCACTGTATATCAGAAAAGATTCTGATTCAATTTTAATATCTATCTATCATCTATCTATCTATCTATCTATCTATCTATCTATCTATTATCTATCATCAACTATCTACCTATAATCTATCATCTATCTTTATCTACCTACATTTTATATACAGAAATCCTATATAATAAAGAGGTAATATGCAAATTGACCCTCACGCCTTCATGTCACAAGATGGCTACCCCCATGTCATCACAAGATGGCTGCCCCACGTTGTCACAAGATGGCTGGCAGGAGAGGGCAGTTGGGGGCAAACGGGCCAGCAGGGGAGCAGTTAGGTGTCAATCAGGCTGGCAGGGGAGCGGTTAGGGGGTGATCAGGCTGGCAGGCAGAAGTGGTTAGGAGAAATCAGGCAGGCAGTCAGGTGAGCAGTTAGGAACCAGCAGTCCCGGACTGTGAGAGGGATGTCCGACTGCGGGATCAGGCCTAAACCGGCAGTCGGACATTCCCCAAGGAGTCCCAGATTGGAGAAGGTACAGGCTGGACTGAGGGACAAATTTCATGCACCGGGCCTCTAGTATTAAATATAGATTTTATTTTTATTTATTTATTTAATCATATTTTCTCAATTACAGTTGACATTCAATATTACTTTATATTAGTTTCAGGTGTACCGCATAGTGTTAAACATTTATATAACTTTAGAAGTGATCCCCTTGATAAGTCTGGTATCCACCAGGCACCACACATAGCCATTGAAATATTATTGACTATATTCCCTCTGTTGTACCATGGATCAGCTGCCTCCTGCACACACCC